ATCCGGACAGCAGGGACCTTCCCCTTGCTGCGCAAGCGGAAGATCGTGGTGTAACGCGAGTAGTCGTCAACAACCAGCAGAAAGTACCGCTCGCGGCCCTGTCCACTGACGCGGGCTGGGCCCCACACGTCCATGTGGAGAGTCTGCAGGGGAGCAGTCGTCGGGGGAAACGAGGAGGAGTGAGGAGCGGCGCGCTGCCGCCCCTCGATGCAAGGAAGGCAGGGCGGGGCAGGCGAGGGTGGGAGGGGAGGCAGAGACCTGGGAAGACCAGAGACAAGGAGGCAGGAGTGCATGCCACGGAGGCGTGTTAGGGAGGGGTGACCAAGGCGGTGGTGCTAGAGGAGAGTCTGGTGCGAAAGGAGGCGACACGAACAAGGGGCTGACAGCTGACCTGACGCAGACACCTCACCAAACGCAGCGACCTGAGGAGGCTTAGTCGTCAATGTGTACAGGCTCGACCCAGGCCGACGGGTGAACGTGGCCAGGTGACGGCCCGTCCGTGCACACGTGCAGATTGCCACACGCTGTCCTCCAGGGGTAAAGGTATCAACCCCAGCATCCTGAAGGACGGCGTTACTCACCAAGTTCGTAGAGAACGAGGGGAGGTGAAGACCTGTCAGTGAGCCAGACGGAACCGCCGGACACGGGAGAACAGTGGAGGAACGTGCAAGAACTGGGCCCCCGGAGGGGTCAGCCAGAGAGACTGCAACAGGTCCAGGAAGTGGTGTGACTGTGGTACTGTCGCGAAAGAAGCAGCGGGAAGCACCTGAGTCAAGTGTGAAGGTGTGCAAGGCCTCAGCAGGCGTAGTACCAGAGAGAGCAGACTCACTAGCACCCAGAGCAGCAGCCTCTATACCAGAGAGAGCAGACTCACTAGCACCTAGAGCAGCAGCCGCTATACCTGGGTCGGGCGGCACACACAGGTAGCAGTCACCCTCAGTACTACCAGGCAAAGCGTACATGGCCGTAAGGATAGTGTCATAGTCTAGAGCAAATATATCCACACCGCGCCGACGCAGCTCTAACCAGTGGGGGAGCTCAGATGAGACGCCAAACTCTACGCGCCAGGCGTCGCTCAGAGAGGCGAAACAGCGGGACTGTGTGTGGCCAAATGTCCCGCAGGTCTGACCAGCCCGATCACCTGTGCGAATGACGTACGGGCAGCGAGTAGTACACCCAAAGTCCCGCTGAGCGAACCACTCACGAAGCTGCTGAGACGTAAGGGTCTCGCGCGGACGCCGCTGCGGCTGCATCTGGCCACCGCCAGAAACTCCCCACTGAACGGCTCCATCGCGACTGCCACTACGGCCGCCGCCACCACTCCAACTGATGTCAAAACCGCCGTCACCGCTCCTACCGCTACCACGAAGAGAAGTCATAGCGGACTAGCAGGGCAGCACTCAGTGAGGGCAGGACGGCGAGCAGGCCCTAGGGTAGAGCGTGCGTTACACGGTCACGGAAGGGCGGCACGCAGCCAGGGTAGGGTAGTGCGTTGACACGGAAGCGTAGCACGCGGGCAGGAAGTGACGGCGCGCGGCCAGCAGGGCGGTGCCCGGGCTGCATAGGGCGGCGCGCTGGCCCTAGGGCGACGCGACGAGCAGGGCAGGGCGTCGCGCGGGTCCTAGGGCGACGCGACGGGCAGGGCAGGGCGTCGCGCGGGTCCTAGGGCGACGCGACGGGCAGGCCAGGGCGTCGCGCGGGTCCTAGGGCGACGCGACGGGCAGGGCAGGGCGTCGCGCGGGTCCTAGGGCGACGCGACGGGCAGGGCAGGGCGTCACGCGGGTCCTAGGGCGACGCGACGGTCAGGGTAGGGCGTGCGGGTCAGCGCGACGCAGGGCAGGGCGTGTCAGAATGTGATGTTTGTCTAGCCTGCAGTGGGGTACTCTATAGCGAGTACAGCCCAAATTAGGGTTTGCTATATGTACTCAACTGCCTGCTAGTGAAAACCTCTCTTTCCTGTTTCTCATTTTAGCCTACTGTTTTGACATGCTATCAGAGCAGGTCGACCCTCCTGGGTCGATCCTGTGGGTGGTCCCGCTTGATGCTTCCGCTGCTGTTCTGCCTATCGCACGCCCTGGGCGCGCGATGTCTGCTGCCTGCCGTGCGCTCAGGGCGCGCGGTGCTTTTTTCTTCCCGCCGCGCGCTCGGGGCGCGCGGCGGTTTTCTGCCCCGTCGACCCGCGCGTCCCCCCCCCCCCCCCTCCGTCGGCGGTCGCGTCGCCCCCCGGAAACCCGTCGCGTCGCCCCGCTGGCCCGCGCGTCGCCCCCGCTACCCGTCGCGACGCCCTGGGGAGCCGCGCGCGACCCCGCTGCCCCGTCGCGACGCCCTCAGGAGCCGCGCGCGGCCCCCCGCTGCCCCGTCGCGGCGCCCTGGGGAGCCGCGCGCGGCCACCCCACTGCCTCGTCGAGGCGCCCTGGGGAGCCGCCCTCCCCCGAGCTGCTGCCCGCGCACCGCCCCCCCCGCTGCTGCCCGTGTTAGGGTTTGCGGGTGGCACGTGTGGGGGTGGCGGGTATGGGGGTGACGGGTGTGTGTGCGCCATCCCCTGCTCCTCCTCCTCCTCCGTCTCCCACTGCTGCAGCTGCCGCTGAGGGGGTGGATGTGTGGGGGGCCGTCGGAGTGGTACTAGGGGGGTGGCGTGTGAGCAGTGCTAGAGGTGCAGCAGGGGGTGTGTGAAAGGGGTGTGGGACAGCTGGGGGAAGTTGAGTGGAGGCAGCCGTCTTGTCGTCCGCAGCGCCTGTAGTCCAGAGAGCCAGCTGCGTCTGTGGCCTGAGTAGTCCGGGTATAGCCTGGTAGCCACAGTGTGAGCACTCCTGGTAGTCCAGAGAGCCAGCTGCGTCTGTGGCCTGAGTAGTCCGGGGCTCTGCGCCTGGTAGCCACAGTGTGAGCACTCCTGGGAGCACAGAGAGCCAGCTGCGCCTGTCGCCTGAGTAGTCCGGGTATAGCCTGGTAGCGACAGTGCTACGCACTCCTGTTGCCCGTGTGTCTGCAGCTTCAGCCGTCGCCTCCCATCTTCTCGCCTCCACAGTTTCTCCTCCTCCTCACTTGCCCTCTATGATAGCCTCTAGCTTTGCTTATCATTGTGAACTACTGCTCTGCCTGCTTGTTGTGTTGATTGTACCCCACTTTGACTATGGGGGTGTGTCAGAATGTGATGTTTGTCTAGCCTGCAGTGGGGTACTCTATAGCGAGTACAGCCCAAATTAGGGTTTGCTATATGTACTCAACTGCCTGCTAGTGAAAACCTCTCTAAACCTGTTTCTCGTTTTAGCCTACTGTTTTGACAGGGCGTGCGCGGGGCAGCGCGACGCGGGGCAGGGCAGGGCGTGCGCGGGGCGGCGCGACGCAGGGCAGGGCGTGCGCGGGGCAGCGCAACGCGGGGCACCGCAACATAGGGCAGGGTAGGGCGTGCGCGGGGCGACACAACGCAGGGCAGGGCAGGGCATACGCTGACAGCGCGACGCAGGGCAGGGCGTGGGGTAGCGCGGTAACCGCAGTCGGTCACTAGCTAACAGTGGGCCTGGAAAAAAAAAAATAATAATAATAATAATAAAAAACGGTCCTACGGACCTACTGCTCTGATACCATGTCAGAATAAACGAGCAGGAAATGAATGAACTATGCATCAGTGTGGTCTAAGTACTAACCCTAAACTGGGTTGTACCCCATATAGGCTACCCCAATATAGTCTACACAACACAATGTTCTGACAAGCCTGTCTGACCTCAGACTAACCTAAAGTGTCAGTTCCAAAAGTAACTTTTGGGACACATATCCAAATGACCCGAATCTTGCCCGGAAGTCACCCGTGGGTCCCTTTTGGGTTAGTACAATCTAGAGATGATGGTTCTCCTTAGTGTGCCCAAAATTCACTCATGGGAATCATGAGTAGGGGGTTCTTTACTTTGGTTTATTGCGTACATACATGTTGCTTTCTTGTTGGGGGTTTCCAGGGCAGTATGAGCATCCCAGTTTCTTTGTTTTTGCCCCTAACGGTCAAATTTAGCTGTAACAACGAGATAATGAAAATCTCTGCTTACAGACAGGTTTCCAGATTTGCACCTTGAGACAAGGAACATAGCTGACAGACATCTTCGTTTGATTGTTCAGACCTTTTTTTTTTTGGGTTGCGAAGCAACCTATTACGATCGATTTTGCCAGTTTTTTTTCACACATTTTCATATTTTATTTTTTTTAATAAAATATGAAAGTAAAAAAACGGGTGGTACTAATTGCTAGTTACATACACTGTAGCAGGTCTTGTCTAGTTCAATTATACTAACGTGATGTTACCGATTTTTTTAGACAACTATGGTAGGTTATTTTCGTGATTTACTCTGTTGTGATTTTCTACCGTATAATATGCGTGTAATACTATGATGAGATGAATATAATAATTGGTAAGTGTAGATGAATAGAATGAAAGATATGATGATAAATGATAAATGCATGCCTTATGTTCGATACGAATAATGCTTACATGTTAGTCACAATCTATGATGCATATTTATAATGATAAAAATGCGTGAAAGCTAACGACCCAAAAACTATGCTACCGCATCCCCTGCCTAGCATGGGGGGGAGCTAATAGCATAATCCTTGAACAATCAGCAGTCACATGAAACAACACAATCTGTGAACTCTAAAAAAACGATCAACTCTATCATCTCCAGTTCAAGTGGGCTCCCGACAGGCGCGCCAATGAACCTTTGGGTAAAAATGATAGAGCCGATGCATTTTTTTTAAAACCCACAGACATGCATTGTTAATGAGATGGTGGATGAATGCACACTCATACAAGCAAACGCATTCACAACAATCAAAGGCATGCACAGCTTAAAACCCAGGCGGAAACCCACGATTATACATAAAACATGCAAAACAAAGTACAAATGACAAACAAGTGACAGCTACAAATTGAACTCGTCTTCCTGATCAGCAAGACCTCTGAGAACAAAAAAAAAAAGATAAATAGAAAAGGAGATCATAGAAAAGCGGTAAACATGAATAATCAGGATACAAAATTACGGATGATGAAAATGGCATGCGAGGTAGGGTAAACATAACAAAAAAAGAGCATATCAAACAAAGCATAAAACAGAAGCATAAAACGGAAGCATGAAACGGAAGCAAAGAACGAAAGTAACAAACTGAAGCAGTAAACATAGTGAAGGTAGGAGGGAAGAAAGTATGGAAGGTAGGAGGGAAGGAAGGAAGAGCGAGAGCGAGAGAACGAGAGAGAGAGAGAACGAGAGTGAGAGAGGAGAACGAGAGAGAGAGAGAGAGAGAGAGAACGAGAGAGAGAGAGAGAACGAGAGAGAGAGAGAGAGAGAGAGAGAGAGAGAGAGAGAGAGAGAGAGAGAGAGAGAGAGAGAGAGAGAGAGAGAGAGAGAGAGAGAGAGAGAGAACGAGAGAGAGAGAGAGAGAGAGAGAGAGAGAGAGAGGAGAAAACGAGAGAGAGAGAACGAGAGAGAGAGAACGAGAGAGAGAGAGTGCGAAGCAGCACTGCCTCTAGACGCGCGTGAGATCCTTTGAGAAGGAACGGCTGGAGCGTTCTGATGTTAGCTACAGCACGTGCTCGGCTTGAAAGTCCACGGGAGCAGATACGCTCTACAAGTCCAGGCAACTTGGGAGATGCAGCTGAACCCTCTCTCTGGCCACACGCAGCGTATGTTCTCACTGACAGGGTACGCCACTGGGGACTGGCTGACTGCGATCCCAATCGAGGCCACCAGACGGATAGGCCCCGTGCATTTCACAAACGCCGTACGGTTTCGGCTGGGTCTCCCCTTTTCAACGCCCAGGAAGTGTGACTGCATAGATCAGGTAGCCATCACAGATCCCCGCCTCCCGAACCATCTCCTCCGCCTGCTGGCACCGGCAAACATCGCATTAACGCACACAACGAGCTGCGCGACGCGTGCATTAGCATGGCGCAGCACGCCGGTTTCATAGTTCACAGCGAGTCCGCCGTCACTGCCCCATCGAGGAACAAACGGCGGACTTCACCATGACCGACAGAAGCAGTGGGGGGCGGTTTATGTGTGTGACGTGACGATCACGGACCCTATTAGCACGAGGGACCCCTGCTAGTTCATCCATTCCTCGTTCAGTTATTCTGACATGGTTTCAGAGCAGGTCCTTCGCTAGGACCTAAGTTTTTTTTTCGGGCCCACCTCTACTAACTACTTCCTAGCGCCTTAGTGCGCCCTACTGTCGGAGTGCTGCGTTAGCGCCTCCCCCTCTGCGCCCTTGTGCGCTCTACCTTACGTGCGCCCTCGTGCGCCCTCGTGCGCCTTTCTCTGCTAGTGCGCCTTCGTGCGCCCTCGTGCGCCCTCGTGCGCCCTCGTACGCCCTCGTGCGCCCTCGTGCACTCTCGAGCTGCCCCTGCAGGTCCGTCAGGCCAGTGCGCAGCCTCTGCACGACCGCACGCCGCCCCTGCAGGCTCTCGCCGCCCGCCGCGTCGCCCTGCCCGTGGCGTCACCGCCTCCCCCCCGCTGCGCGTCGTCGCCTGCCCGCGACGTAGCCCCTGTCCGCGGCGTCGTCGCCTGCCCGCGGCGCCGTCGCCTGCCCGCGGCGTCGTCGCCTGCCCGCGTCGTCGTCGCCTGCCCGCGGCGTCGTCGCCTGCCCGCGACATCGGCGCTGCCCGCGGCGTCGTCGCCTGCTCGCGGCGTCGTCGCCTGCTCGCGGCGTCGTCGCCTGCCTGCGGCGTCGTCGCCTGCCCGCGGCGTCGTCCCCTGCCCGTGACGTCGGCGCCTGCCCGCGGCATCGTCGTCTGCCCGCCGCGTCGCCTGCCCGCGGCGTCACCACCTGCCCGCCGCGTCGACCTGCCCGCGGCGTCGCCACCTGCCCGCCGCGTCGCCCTGCCCGCGGCGTCGCCACCTGCCCGCCGCGTCGCCACCTGCCCGCCGCGTCGCCACCTGCCCGCCGCGTCGCCCTTCTCGCCGCGTCGCCCTGACCTAATCCGCCTCTCGCCCCTGGAGCAGCCGCCACTGCAGCAGCAGCCCCTGGAGCAGCCGCCACTGCAGCACTTCCCTGTCCTGCGGTCCCGTCGGGCACACTGTCAGGTCTCTACCTCCCCTCGTTCTCTACGAACTTGGTGGCAGGTTGTGCGCTCCAGGACGGGGGTGTTCACCAGTTCACCCCTGCCTACGAGCGCGTGACCCACTGCACGTGTGCTCGGACGGGCCGTCACCTGGCTACCTTCACTCGGCAGCCGGGGTCGGACCTGTACACACTGACCACTGAGTCCCCTCAGGTAGCTGCGTCCGCGTCCGCGTCTGCGCCAGGCCAGCTGTCGGCCCCCTGCTCGTGCCGCTCTTTGGCGCATGAGACTGTCCTCTGGCACCACCGCCTTGGTCACCCGTCTGTGCAGCGCCTTCGGGCCATGCACAAACGGGACCTTGTTGCTGGTCTTCCCAGGGTTCTCCCTCCCCTCCCACCCTCGCCTGCTCCTCCCTGTCTTCCCTGTGTCGAGGGGCGGCAGCGCGCCACCCCTCACTCCTCCTCCTTTCCCCCAACGACTGCTCCCTTGCAGACGCTCCACATGGACGTGTGGGGCCCAGCCCGCGTCCGTGGTCAGGGTCAGGAGAGGTACTTCCTGATTGTTGTTGACGACTTCTCGCGCTACACCACGGTCTTCCCCTTGCGCACCAAGGGTGACGTCCCTGATGTCTTGATCCCTTGGATCCGCAGATCTCGTCTCCAGCTCAGTGAGCGTTTCCGCTCCGACTTCCCTGTCCTGCGTCTGCACTCTGACAGAGGTGGGGAGTTTTCCTCTGGCCTCTTGGAGACCTTCTGTCAGCAGGAGGGCATTGAGCAGTCGTTCACGCTTCCGGCCTCTCCACAGCAAACGGGGTTGCTGAGCGTCGCATTGGCTTGGTCATGGAGGTCGCTCGTACCTCCTTAGTTCATGCGGCTGCCCCCCACTTTCTGTGGCCGTTTGCAGTCCGATACGTTGCGCATCAGCTCAACATCTGGCCCCGTGTCTCCTTACCGGAGACTTCTCCGACACTGCGTTGGACGGGAGAGGCTGGCGATGCGTCGCGTTTTCGGGTCTGGGGATCTCGAGCTTTTGTTCGCGATACGTCCGCGGACAAGCTCTCCCGTCGAGCTGTCCCCTGTGTCTTCCTTGGCTTTGTCCCGGACGCGCCTGGTTGGCAGTTCTACCACTACCACGCCACCTCCGCGTCGTGTCCTGGCCTCTCAGGACGTCACTTTTGACGAGTCCGTCCCCTACTACCGCCTCTTCCCCTACCGCACTGCCCCCTCCCCACCCCCGCCTCTCTTCCTCGCTCCAGGTGCTGAGGTACCAGACCCCCTCCCCCCTCAGGGTGCCGCTCCCTCAGGTGTGTCCCAGGTAGACCCGGTTGAGCCTGCAAGGTAGCTGTTGACTCTCGTCCTGCTGGGGGTGCTGAGCCTGACCGTGAGGAGTCTGAGGGAGGTGAGCCTGGGGGTGCGGAGCCTGGGGGTGCGGACCCTGGGGGTGCGGAGCATGGAGGTGCTGAGCCTGGGGGTGCGGAGTCTGGAGGTGCTGAGCCTGGAGGTGCTGCGTCTGGCGGTGCTGCGTCTGGGGGTGCTGAGCCTGGGGGTGCTGAGCTTGACCGTGCTGAGTCTGGGGGTGCTGAGCCTGGGGGTGCGGAGTCTGGGGGTGCTGAGCCTGGAGGTGCTGAGTCTGGGGGTGCTGTGTCTGGAGGTGCTGAGCCTGAGCGTGCTCCACCTGGGGGAGCCCTCTCCTCCCAGCAGCTGCAGGAGAGGTACCTACAGTACTGCCGCCTCCGGAGAGGTGCTGCTGGAGCTCGTACCAGTACTTCCCCTCCTACCCAGGAGCTCCCCCCCCATTCACAGATCCGAGAGTGGTACGCGCGGCGCTGCAGTCTTCAGAGTGGTGCTCCTGGTGCTGCAGACCCTGGGGGTGGCGCTGCTGCTGGTACTGAGGACCCGGGCGTTGGAGCTACTGCTGGTGCTGAGGACCTGGGCGGTGGCGCTGCTGCTGGTGCTGAGGACCCGGGCGTTGGAGCTGCTGCTGGTGCTGAGGACCCGGGCGTTGGCGCTGCTGCTGGTGCTGAGGACCTGGGCGTTGGAGCTGCTGCTGGTGCTGAGGACCCGGACGTTGGAGCTACTGCGGGTACTGAGGACCCTGCTGCTAGTGTCCCTGCTCGTTCTGGAGACTCTGCCGGCCGCGCCGACCTACTTCGTACCGCTCCTTCAGCAGGTTCTTGGTCAGACTCCTCCTCCTTGTCCTCCTCCCTCCGTAGAGTGTCCTCCGCCTGTCCCGCCGCAGTCACAGTTACCGCCTGCCTCGCCTCTCCCTGCTCCCTCTCCTTACGCTGGTCCCACGGGAGGTCTTACAGAGCGACGTGAGCCTGAGTCTCGTCCTGCGTCGCCTGTTCGTACTGCTCGCACTGGCCGTCGTGTCCCACGTGAGCGTCCTCCTCCTGTCCCTGGCACTCACTACATGACTCTGCGTCCCTCCACTGCTCCTCAGCGTGTCCCGCTGCCGTCTCCTCCTGCGTCCTCTCTTCCTACTCTTCCTGACCCGGAGTCTGACTCCCGTCGTGCTGCCAGTCCCACTGTCACGCGTCTTCTCGCTACTGTTGTCACTGACCCTACCTTTGAGTCCTCTACTGCGTCTGCATCTGCTCTGGTCGCTGAGTTGGTAGACTTTGCTGCCCGGTGTCGTCTAGACTACGCCACTAGCCTTGTTGCTGAGTCCGAGTCTGAGTCTGTCTGTCCTCCGTCCGTCGGGGGTGTGTGTGCTCTTGGCACGGACGTCCTTGAGGACAGACAGGAGGAGTTCCAGTGCTTTGCTGCTGCTTTGCCCCATCTCGTGTCCATGCTAGTTGCCCCTGAGGGAGACCCGGATGCACCAAACCGACATCCCGCCCCGCGCACCTACGCCGAGGCGATGGCGGGTCCCTACTCCTCTCAGTGGCAGACAGCCATGGACGCAGAGATGGCTTCCTGGAAGTCCACACGCACCTACGTCGACGAGGTTCCCCCACCTGGGGCGAACATCGTCAGTGGCATGTGGATTTTCAGGGTGAAGCGGCCACCGGGTTCTCCTCCTGTCTTCAAGGCGCGCTATGTGGCTCGAGGCTTCAGTCAGCGAGAGGGAGTTGACTTCTTCCAGACCTTCTCTCCCACCCCGAAGATGACCACTCTTCGGGTGCTGCTGCACATAGCCGCTCAGCGCGACTACGAGCTTCACTCTCTTGACTTCAGCACTGCTTTCTTGCAGGGCAGTCTGCACGAGGAGATCTGGCTGCGCCGCCCTCCTGGCTTCACTGGGTCGTTCCCTCCTGGTACCCAGTGGAGGCTCCAGCGGCCAGTCTACGGTCTCCGCCAGGCGCCACGTGAGTGGCACAACACACTGAGGACTACACTTGCGGCTCTTGGGTTCGCGCCTTCTACAGCTGACCCGTCGCTGTTCCTGCGCACCGACACTTCGCTGCCGCCGTTCTACATCCTCGTGTACGTCGACGACTTGGTCTTTGCCACTGCTGACAGTGCAGGACTCGCCTACGTGAAGTCGG